CGAGACCATGTGCCTGGCGCAGCTCTTCCTGCAGTCGGGCACGGCCTACGAGTGCCTCAGCGCGCTGGGCGAGAAGGGCCTGGTCCAGTTCCGAGACGTGAGTGTCGCCCGGGAGACGCGGGCCGCAGCTGCCCGCGAAGCGGCCGCATCGCGCCTTTCGCTTGGGCCGCTTTTCCGCGGGCTCCTGGGCAGGGGCGCGCCGCCACCCCCATTTCCCAGACGGGGAAGCTGAGGCCCACTTTCCGGCCAGAGCTTCCGCAGAGCGGGGCCCGAGCCCAGGGTCGCCGGATAACTGGTCCGCGGCTGCCTCGGACGGGTTAGTTAGGAACGCTCCGCGTCCTCATCAGCTCGGGTGGTGCCGCCTGGTGCTTCGGGGCACCGACCCTCTGCCAGGCACCGGGCTAAGCGGGAGAACAAATCTGATAAGGCCTTTTGGAGCCCTTCTGGAACTTACGGGGGTGGCAGAAGAGAAATCTTAAGCAACTGAATACAACAGGAGTATGTTTGCTAAAGAGAAAATAAAAATAAATAGAAAATAAAAAATAGAAAATAGAAAAAAAAGAAAATAGAAAATAAAGAGAAAATATAATGGGGTGTGAAATGGTGACTTAGGTCGGGGTGGTCAGGGAGGCCTCTCTGAGGAGGTGTCTTTTGGACTGAGATCTGAAAGGGAAGGAGCTGACCCTGGGAAGGTCTGGGGGAACAGGATCCCAGGTGGAGGAAACAGGAAGAGCGGGGAGCCTGAAGTGGGAATGAACTTGGTAGAAGCTCTTGAGGGGCGAGATTTCTGTTGTTTTTGTTCACTGATACCCGGTGATGTACATACCACTGCCTAGTGAGAAGGAGGAGCCCGGTCAGAATTCGATGAGTGGGAGCTGTCTCCCCAGCGCGTAGTAGTAAACACTTGTTTATGTATCTGGTTACTTGTTTACTGTTTGTCTCCACCATGAACTGTCAACCCCCTGGGGTAAAGGCCTTTCCTGCCTCCTTCGCTCCTGATTCCTTGGCACAGTCCCTCTCTTTGTGGGCATTAATTGGCGTTTGTTGAATGAGTGAACAAGCTTTTATTGCTTGCTCTGTTGCAGACCCTGTTTTTGGTGCTGGGGACTCGGGTGAGCAGAGTGGACAAGGTCCTTGTGTTCTTGTTGCTGACAGTCTGGGAGGAGACGGAAACAAACTCTGATTATGAACTGTGATAAGTGCCCTGAAGGGAATGAACGGTGTGAAAGAGAGATTTTAAAGTGGGACCTAATACCTAATACTCGCTATTTGAACTGGAAGTCACTTGAGTGAACATTTTATTTCCTGGGCCACAACTTTACACCCTTGGTGGTTTCCCTTCCTCTTTCTGAGGGCCCCATAATTTTAAGAGGGAACATCCTTACCCAAGATCTGATATTATTGATCCTTGGGTTGGCTCCACAAGGCAATTGCAAGGTCAGAGAGGAACTCCTGCGTGACAGGCGAGGCTGCAGGGAAGGCCCAGCTCTTCCTGGTTCCTGGAGCCACTTGGGCTTTAGCACGTAGTGCCCACTTTCCTGGCTGGTGCTGTGTTGAGCTGTGAGTCGTCCTCGAAAGATTCAGTAAACGGCTGAGAGAAAAACAGGCTCCCTTCTTGATAACAGGTGGATTTCTCCCATCCTGTTACTACTCAGGCCGAGAGACCTAAATCCAGCTTACATTTTAAAGGTTTGAGCAAATTACTTAATTACTGCAAAGATTCAAGTTTCACCGAGAGACATGACATTAGGTGGTAGAGGGTACTTGGGATTCTTTTGAACCTCAAATCGAGGAAAGAAAAAGAAGATGCAGTTCATCTTTTTTTTCCAGAAGAAAGATAGAACTAAAATGCTAAATGAACTCTTCCTTTGTGGTGTTAGGTTTTCAGAGCTTGTGTGTGTGTTTGTGTGTGTGTGTGTGTGTCTGTCTGTCTGTCTTCTCTGTTTCTGTTTCTGTCTTTGGGGTGACTGTCAAGCAGCATGCGTTCTAGTGCAGAAGGCTGCATCACACTGGACTTTTTCTGCTCTTTTCTGGAGCTCCTTCCTGACTTGGCGCTCACCAGATAGGATCACTGACGTCAGTCTTTTCTGGCCTGCACGGGCTGGACAGTTTCCCCCTTCCCTTTTAGTAATTCTTGTAAGGGAAAGGAGGTAGGGCAAGGGTTTCCTGTAGTGATAGCCAAAGAGAAGACCTGGAAAAGAAAGGTTATTCAGCTCACTGTAGGACTCACTGAAGGGAAACTGTTGTAAGGGTCTGCAGTCTAAGAACGGTGTTTCACATTTAGTCTATTAGCTGCTGGAGTGGGAAGATCACTGGTGTGGGTACCACGGCACCAGGCATCCTCTGCCGGTTTTTCCAGGCTAAATGTTAGTCTTAAAATGAATCTACATTAAAATGTGCTTCAGAGGGCAGGGTATAGCTCAGTGGTAGATTGCATGCTTAGCATGTGCGAGGTCCTGGATTCAATCCCCATTACCTTCACTAAAAAAAAATTAAAAATGAAATAAAATAAAATACACTTCATTAGCCTGAAATTAGGGCAATGTTGCCCCCCTAAAAAGAAAACAGAAACAAAACTTTATAAAAGAAACCACGCAACAGAGAAAGACAATAAACTGTAAGATGGTGATGGTATGTCAGATCCAATCATGTTTGGGTCATTGCCACAGAAATTTGCCTCTTCATGAAGATTCTACTCTTTGTGGAACCATGGTGTCCAAATTGAGTTAACTAGTGTTTGATGTTGAAAAAAAAATTGAAACCGAGAAGTTGTGTCATTTATAGATGGCTTTTGGTGTGTGGCTTCCTCATCACATTCTTAGTCTATAGAGAGACTGTGTCTGAATCATTAGGAACTTGAAAGTGGTTACTGCTTAGGACTTCCAGAAATGAATCCAAGTGCCACAAACAGAAGCGAAATTCAAATTTTTATCTTCTGGTTAATTCTTTACAAAAATTTGGAAAACTGAACGAGCACTGGGCCTTCAGGGTAGACATCCTTAGGCTGCCCAAGCAGTTTTGTGCTCAGCTGTTTCTAGTTCTGTTTTCTGGATGGAGTCAGGATAAAATTCTTGTCCATTGTGGAAAATTTGGAAAACAAAAGATAAGAACTTCCTTGATCCTGTTACCTAGAAACAAACACTTGGCCTTGCTGGTTCATATTGACCAATCAAATATTATTTTTCTAATTATATTTCAAAATGTGCATACATGTGTATTTCTGTATAATTCTGAGTGTCCTCTGTGGTGTTGGGTGTCCGTAGTTCCTTTTTGCTGCTGCATAGTGTTCCATGGTTTCTTTAACCAGCTTTCTATTGTTAATCATTTTTTCCCTATCCCTGAGGATGACGCTCTTCTAGATACATTTTTGTCCATATCCGTTAGCTTTTCCTTAGGTTAAGTTTCTTCACGAGCTGTTTCTGGGCCAGAGGATGTTTTTCAGTTTTTTTTTTTTATAACAGTTGCCAAATCGCTTTCCAGAAAAGCTGTGTTGTCAGTTCACACTCCCATTCAGTACTTAGTGTATGAGGATGTGTTTTCCGCCGAAACCCTTGACAGTAATATTTCACTTTAAAAATAGAACCGACTTTTAAATTTTAGAAAATTCAAAGCAAAATTTTCATCTTTTTCTCAGCTCAACCAGAATGTGAGTTCTTTCCAAAGAAAATTTGTTGGTGAGGTGAAGAGGTGTGAAGAACTAGAGCGAATATTGGGTAAGTTTATTTTTAATAACTTAAATAGCTACTTTTGTATAAACAAACATTGTTCACTTCAGTAAAATTAGAAAACCTAAACACGCAGAAAGGAAAAAAGGAGCCATCCACGTTCTCCCCATTCAGGTGATCACTGCTGTGTGGGTTTATGTTGTTCTTCCAACACATTTTACTATTCGTCTGTAAAAGTAAGGGTTTACATACAAAATGGTCAGGTTGTTGTATTAGCTTTGTTTCTGACTTAATGATACTTATTGTAACATCTTTTCATGTCAGTAAACAGGTTGATCCATCATTGTTTTTAATGGCTGCATAGTATTTTGTTGGTGTTTAATGTGGTGTAGTTTATTTAACTAACCTCTTATAGTTTATTGTAACATAAAAGCATTGTATACCTATTAATATATTACTTAAAATGCTATCAGGGGACACGGGAGGTAGGAAATGGCAGACAGGTGGCTGATCATCTCCTTTTTCTCAGGGCTTCCTTTCAAAGGTGTTGGATCACTGTTCTCTGACGGTTAAACATTAAAAAACTCAGTAGCTCAAGGCTACCTCCTTTATCTGTAAAACCTTTGACATCTCAGCGTAAAATGAAATAGTCTTTATTAATTCAAATCTTGAAGTTCTGACTGACGTAGAGAGAGGGGAATGATCCCAGTAATTGTCTGAAGTACCAAATTTGGTTTTTGAAGGATGAACAGAAAAACCTGGGGATGAGAGAGTTGAGGAGGGGAGAGAAGATGGCTTTTGGAAAGATTTCTAATTGTGGGTAATTATTGTGGCTTTTGTATTTTTTAATTGGGGATTTTTAAGCTCAAAACCCTTTTAGTCGTCTGAAATCTAGTCCTTCACATATTGTTTGAGGTCCTGGCTGTGTGGGTCATGTAGGGCAGACTGACATCATAGTCCCATCTTTGCAACATACATGAGTCATTTGACAGGTTGGATATTCAGGGTGAGTTTTCCAAGGCAGGGCAGGAGTGACACGTGTGAGACATGTCCAGGACTTCCTGTAACTTAAACTATTGCAAAAAGAATGCAGACTCAAAGAAAATGAATTCTCAAGTAAATTCAGGTATAATTAGGTTAAAAAAATTTACACGCATTTCCAGAAACTTCTTAAGCCCAGTGCCTCCTTTGCTATCCTGTTGGTGAAACATCCTCTCTTTTCTTCCTCCCTCCCTTTCCCCTTCCCTCCTTCTGTCCTCTCTGTCCCTCTCCCTTCCTCCCTCCCCCCTTTCTTTCCTTCTAATAGAATAACTAGTGACACTTCTCCAAAATACCGTATCTGGTAATGACTTTATCTGCTGTTGTGATTTTTATCCTAAGGAAAAGGATGCCTCATGGAATTGAAAATGTAAACTAAAGAAATTAAGTTAACTTTGGCTGGTTCTCTCAGTTCCATGGATCTAGTTTTTAACCTAAGTAGGGAAGGCAGTACGGGTTGTCCTAAGTGAAAACATCACAGCTAACTGGGGACTCTCAGGAGCACCTGGCTCTCTGCCCCGTGTCGCTTAGGCTCCTTGTGCTGTTAGAGATGGTGATTTTGTTGATGGATGCGTATTTCCTCCTGAAGGCGTCGGCAGGGAAGTTGCACTGATGTCTCTGGTGGGGACGATTACAGGTCCATCATGGGGTTATTCCTGCACTTCCAAGTGTGTCCTTAACCTGGTCTTCATCTACAGGTGTAGAGGCAGCCGTGGCTCCACAGATCTTTAGCTAAAGTTTTAGAAATGAAGGACGTGGGGAGTTTCAGAAAGTGTTTATCCGGGTTACTGTTTTTTTTGTTGCTGCATGCTGATCTCTCTGGCAGAATTATTTTGCACATCTTTGGAAACAAGGTTGCAAAAAGCATCTTGTTGGTCAATTGGGACAAGCAAGATTTTTGTGCATGTAGAGGTTAACTTTTAGAAGACCTGGGAAAGGTTGGGATGTAAAGTGGTGTGACCGAAATGTCCCGTGGTTAAGTTTTTGAGTCTAATTTGTTTAACTTTTATTTCTACAGCATATTTGGTGCAGGAAATCAATAGAGCGCATATTCCCCTTCCTGAGGGAGAGACCAGTCCTCCTGCACCGCCTCTTAAACAAGTTCTCGAAATGCAGGTAACTTGTTTCCGAAGAAGCGGCTTTCGGTCACTGATCTCAGATCCCGCGTATTTACTTAACTGTTGTCTAGTGCTTTTCAGCCTTTCTTCTCAAAACCATAGAATGAAAATTAAAGAACCCTATTATGGCTAACTCTCAGTAATAGGTTATCTGTGAGAAGTTCTAACTGTAATTCCGTTTTCTTTTGAAATGAAGACAGGTGGTATTGAACAGAGGCTTCAGAGAATTAGGTCGTGAAATCTGTTTCTTAGTCACGCAGTGTTTTTGGAAGGTCGTCTGGGCTTACCCAGGCCTTGGCGTGTCTCTCGTGCAAGCCACGAGGCTCCGGTCCGGTGCTGTTTATACCGTTCCCAAAGTCACTCTGACCTGCCCTCACTCAGGCTAGCGTGAAGGCCGTAGGTTCTTCCCCGTGGACAGCAGTCAGGATTTCTCCCCTCTGAGTTCAGTGTCTCGGGTGTTGGGGATGCCCTGTCCCCCTGTGAGAGCACTGGCTTGTCTCGTTCCTTAGCCTCCCTGCCACCTGCCACCAATTTTCTGTTGGGGTTTTGGTCTAATCATCTGATAGCTCATCACACCGGGAAATAGACTAGAGCTCTTTCCAGCTCTTCTAAAACAATCAGTTCTATATAACTAGGGCCATTCCACTGCAGGCTGGCTGCTCTGTTTTTCTGGGCGGAAGTCATTCAGCAGTTGGTATAAGAATGGACTCTAGAGAGAATTATACAATCTGGTGAGAGCAGTCATCTGGTTTGGCCTGTTTGGTGTGTTGGTTATGATGTAATTACAAATGTAGTGATTACGGACTATTTATAGTTTTTATAAAGCAGAGCACAGGTAATACATGTAGTGTGTCAAGTGTTCGGTTCAAGTACAAGTTTTCACCGAGTCGATGAGCTGCAGCACGGATTTCTGCTTCTGTTGTTTCGATACTTAAGCATTGTTAAAGAGGCTTGATATGTAACTAATAGACAGGATTTGTTCTTAAGGATTTCTGTTTTTTTTAATTGAAGTATAGTCAGTTTGCAATGTGTCAGTTTCTGGTGTAGGGCATAACAGTTCATACATGTACATACGTGTATTTGTTTTCATATTCTTTTTCATTATAGATTATTACAAGATACTGAATATAGTTCCCTGTCCTATACAGTAGAAACTCATTGTTTATCTATTTTATATGTAGTATCAAGGATTTTTTACGCCTAACTAATCGTGTAAGTGTAACCCCATAGAAACTCACAAGCCTAGAGATTAGGAACAGATATGTTTGGGAAAGATAGTATCTAAAATTTTTCTGTGTTGCAAATAAAAGGAAATGTCGTCTTGAAAGAGGAAGACCCTTTGGTGTGTGATAATGGGTAAGAGATGAAGGAAAACGGAAAGAAATGGTAGGACCTGAGAATAGAGCCGAAGTCCAGCTGCAGGGCACTCTGAGCCCTCATCGCATCGGGAAAGCTGTCCGTCCTGCGCGGCACGAGCCTCGTGGGTCTCCTGAGTTAACATGCAGCAGCGAGTGATGGGCTTTCGAAATCCGCGCACGTTGTCGTGCCTCCACCACGCAGCCGCACACTGTGGCTGTTTAAAGCCTCCCCAGGTCCTGGCAGTGCCTCTGCTTCTACCGTGAGAAGAGTATTAGAACCAGATTTGGAACTAGTCCAACTGCGGTTTTGTTTTAGGAGCAGTTGCAAAAGCTGGAGGTTGAATTGCGAGAAGTCACTAAGAACAAAGAGAAACTGAGGAAGAACCTGCTTGAGCTGATCGAGTACACCCACATGCTGAGAGTGACCAAAACCTTCGTCAGACGCACCGTGGAGGTACTGGCGGCACCCGGGAGGAAGCGCATTTCTTTTGTAAAAATCTCATTCCCGTAAGGCTTCGGGTTTCGTTATCAATTCCTGTAGACGCGTTGCTTTTTTAAAAAAGAGATACAGTTTGATCTTAGCTTTATTTTTCAGTTGGACTATAAGACATTTAGAAGAAGCCTGAAGTATTTTCCTGTGTTGGTTGGTTTTAGCAATAACTGCTTTCTGTTTGTAAAATGCCTTCATTTGCAGTTGAAAAAAATCCTTGTATGATCATGAGAAAAAAGTGAACAGTGGACTCTGACTCTAAAATTTAGTGGTTTTTTTTTTTCCAAATTGCTAAGAATAGAGGAAGTAAAAAAAATAATAATAACAATACAGAACAGTCCATGCAGGAGTGCTGTGCTCAGCTGAGTACCAGAGCGGGGAGAAGCACATCCCTTCCGGACTCAGTTTCACTGCCTGTAGCGGCGTCCTGTGGTAGCGTTACACTGTCTTGGATTAAAGTGAAGACATACATAACTATGGGAAGGGGAAGTTAACCTCTTTATCTATCAGAGCTGAGTTACACGTCTAAGTTGTCTTGGGGCCTTGCCACCCAGATCTGAGTAGCTCTGATGTCCTGCAAACTTGTCTGGAAACGTGACTTGAGAACTAAAGTGTCACTTTGAATGAGACACACTTGGTTTCATATCTCTTTGTAGTTTGAACCCACTTATGAAGAATTCCCTCCCTTGGAGAATGATTCTTTGTTGGACTACAGCTGTATGCAGAGGCTGGGAGCAAAACTGGGGTAGGTGACAGCTGGTGTGTCGAGTTTCATCCTGTCCTTGTCAGTGGGAGATGAGCTCTAGAGAGAGGGTGAACGGGCACCATTTGAAAGCCTGAGATGGAATGAAAGAAAATGAATGTTTGTTTAAGGAAACACTGTTCTCCTGTATTTGTTGAGTTGAACACTCAGCTGTATTGACTTTTTCGCTAAATATGATAGGCGTTTCTTTGGTATAATAAGCTGGAAAGAAGGAACATTTGTACCATTCATTGGTTCTCCATAAGCCTGAAATAATTGGTCACTAGAGTGTCAAGTCCTCTTCTGTTTGGTGGAAACAGAGGCGCTAAACTGAATTGGTTAATTTATTAATTGTATTTTAAGGGTCTCTTTCTGCTGTTTATGCTTTCTATTTACTTGAACAAATGGTGGCTTTTTTCCTCATGTGATTTGTGATTTCTTTATTATGAGCCTCTGTTCCTTATCCGTAGGAGTTCAGTGATGTTTAGTTTGAGCATGTATTCCTTCAGAGAGAACTTACTTTCACATATGTCAGGTACCTGGGAGCACTCTACTAACCTGGAGTCATTTTATGTTAATTTCTCAGCTTGAGCTTTTTTTTTTCCTGTTTGCTGTCACATATGCACGTAATGTGAATTTCATCCACACTTCTGAGTAAATTCTAACCTGTGGCCTTAAATTCTCAAGGAACACACTGCCCCTTCTCTCCAGAACCAAAACTGAAAGAAACAAGTTTGCTTGTAGGCTCCTTTGAAGGTGGGTTTTTTTTCCCCAGTCCACTCGTTCACTTCAGGTGTGGCCCTTTGTTGGGGCTGAGAGTCCCAGCTTTGGGTGGCTTAGGGGATTCAGTTCATCTCCTCGCCTGATGTAGACCCAGTGCCCATCCCCTGTCTCCCGTGCTGGCAACGAAACTCACGGCCTTGAGATCCTGGATCAGTAGAATATGTCAGGATTTAGCTGCGAGGTCCTATTTTTCTTTTCTTTTCTTTTCTTTTTTTTTTGATTCTAAGAATTTGTCTAAATTATGGGCTCAGCTATACGTTGAAGAGGATGTTTCAAAAACGTTTTGTCTAGCATTATAGATGTTTTTCAGCTGGAGGACTTTCGGGAGATCTTCACCAGTTTGCCAGAAACGAAAGTCGTCATCATCCTTTTCATGCAGTTTGGTAATATTCGTTGCTTTTGCTTGACTGCAGCCTTTATTGTCTTATAGATTTGTATCTGGCCTAATTAACCAAGGAAAAGTTGAAGCATTCGAAAAAATGTTGTGGAGGGTCTGTAAAGGGTACACCATTGTGACCTATGCAGAGCTGGAGGAACCCCTCGAAGACCCTGAAACAGTGAGTAAATGTCACCCTCACCTTTTAACAATGACAGACTTGGCCCAAACTCCCAACAGTTTGCCTTGTTTCCTTTCTGGTCCAGTGCCCTACCTGGGACTGTGGGTTGCATTCGGGATAGGCATCCCATTCTGTGGGATGACCCTCCCTCTGGGTCATTCAGTGCTTCCTCATGACCAGACTCGGATCACACATTCTCGGTAGGAACACCGTGGGCACGATGCTCTGGTCCTCTCAGCACCTCCCCCCAGGAGGCACGTCGTGTCCACCTGGTCGTGCTGATGTCAAGCAGTGCATGAATTGCTGAGTTAATTTACTTTATTTAGTCAATGTAACCAGCCTCCCAACCACATCAGCCGTCTCCTCTGCCTGCCGCCTCGTGGTCTCCCCTGCTCCCTGCCACCTTGTGTCCTTCCCTTCAGGACTTGGCCCGAGGCTCCCCACCCTGTTTTCCGGTCCCCTCTGCCCCAGGGCTCAGTTCTTGGACTGCTTCTCTCCTCTTTGCCCTTAGGGATCCCATGTAATTTCATGGCTTTAAATGCCATCCCCCAAATGTATATATCTAGCTTCAACCTCTCCCCCGAATACCAGACTTCTGTTTAACTGGCTAGTCCATATCTTTGAAGTTTCTGGAAGATATTTCCATCTGATGCCTAAAACTGACCTCCTGATCTTCCCCCTCAAACTTGTCCTTCCAGGCTCTCCCATCTCAGTAAGTGGCACTTCCATCCTTCTGACTGCTCAGGCCGAAAAACCTCACGGTCATTCTTGATTTGCCTCTTTTTCCTCATGCCTCCAATCTAGTTCATCAGCGGGTGGCCCTGTTTCCTAAATAGGAAGAGAATCCGGCTTCTCACAACCCAGCCCCGCCAGGAGATGAGCATCCACTCCTGAAGCATCTCCCTTTTGCAGGAACCTCCGACCTGAGCTCCTGCTCTTGCCTCTGCTCCGTTTGGCTCTCTTTCCTCCCAGCATCCAGGATGATCCCTATAAAACTAGTCAGAGCTTTCTACTCCTCCACTTAAAACCCTCCTGTGGCTTCACATCTCTTGAGGCGAAAAGCTCAGAGCCTTACAGGGTCACATCTGGCCCCATCTCTGACCTTCGGTCGGGCCATCTCTCCTCAGCCGTGCCGGCCTCGCCCTTCCTCATCCTGCCTCCGTGTGGTTGGCTCCGAAGGCTTTTCCCAGTGTCCACAGGCTTCTTCCCTCACCCCCTCACTCCTGCAGGCTCAGACGTCCCCTTCTCAGGGAGGCCTTCCTGATTGTCCTCTTTAAAATTGCAACCGCTGGCCCTTTCTCCCTGTCGCCGCTTCCAGCTTTGCTTTCTTTATAGCCCTTCTCTCCAGTCAGCATACTGGGTACTTTGTGTCTCTCACGGCCAAGTTGAATATAAGCTTCCCTCCCTCCTGGGCCAGGGATCACTGTCCGTTATACCCCAACACCTGGGAAAAAAAGGCCAAAACCTACTCAGTCTTATTTGTAGAATTTTCCTAAGTACAGCCAGTTCCCCTGCCTCATAGTGACTACGCTGTGTAGTCTCCATGAGCACTGAACCACTGCTCCCAGGGGAGACACAGGGTCAGGTTCCTGCGAGCCGTCGGTCACAGCATTTTTGTCAGACGGTCAGTACGTAACCTTGTATTATATGTGTTTCTATTGAAAGACACCTTATTTAACATATACAGTTGATTCATTAACGTGGAACTCACGGCCAGCAGCGCTGTCACTCACGTCTGAGCAAAGCTTCTGCGATGCTCATGAGGCGCGTCACAGCCTCCTTGCGCTCAGGAGCACTGGGCAGCGCTCCAGCACCACCCCCAGGACCATGTCAGACAGTGAAATGGCCAACAGAAAGCACACAAGTGGGAAAATGTGACCACAAAAAGGCCGCTTGTTTACAGTACGAGCTGAAACAAGGCGGCAGAGGGTCACCTTGTTTGATGCCAGCTGGGAACATGCACGTTGGATGACTCAAAATTTCTGTCGCTCTGCATGTCTGCAAATGACAGAAAAAAGTGCTGCGAGTATTGATTTTGGGGTTATGAATGATTTCTGGGGTGAATTTGCAGTTATGGAATCTGCAGCTAACGTGGATGGACGGTATTTGTTGAATGAATGAACTGACTGACAGTGTGAGCAGCCAGAGTTTTCAAAATTCTAGACACAAAACTAACAATTATCTTCATTCTTTGTAGGGAGAAGTCATAAAATGGTACGTGTTTTTAATATCCTTTTGGGGAGAGCAGATTGGTCACAAGGTTAAGAAGATATGTGATTGGTAAGAAAAAGAAACATTTCATTTCATTTCTTTATCCGCTGTAACCTCTAATTTTCCTTAAACATCTCTGTTGGAAGAGAAGTAGAGTGGGTGCAAAGGCTGCTGGGTTTTGCTACATGATTTCTTTGCTGTAATACCGCTTTTAGACATTTAATTTGTCTTGCTAGCGTAATACTTAAAATAATTTAAAAGTAGACACCATGTTAATAACATTCCCAGATTTGGTTTATTTTTCCCCCCTGGGGAGTTATGGCTCAAGATCAATTGGAGAAGGAATCCAGTTTTAATATCTGGAGGCTTTCTGTGGCTCTTAGCTCCACGTGGGCTTATCTGGCGTGGTTGAGCACGCGGCTCACTGACTGACCTTCTTTGTGCCCTGGGGAAGGGGGCGTGGCGAGGGGGGGCCAGGGTGGTCTCTGCGTGGCCAGCCTGCGTTCCGAGCCTGGCTTTGGCTCTCACGGGGGGAGCACGGGCAAGTCGGCAAGTCTGAGAGTCCTCATCTGTACACAGGGCGGCAGCTCCTTTCTCGTGTTCGGCCGTCAGCACCGCTCGAGACGGTGCGAGTGCAGGGCTCCGGTGCCACGTGAGCCTTTGGTAAACGTGGAGCGCATCACGGCAAGAGTGGGTCTGTGATTAGTCTTGTCACCGATGGGAAAATAAGCAAAGCCACGCAAAAACTCAAAAGAATGCCCTTTTGTTTTTTTATACCCCTGGGGTAAGGGTGGCGTTTGGGTATTTCCTTTGGATTAATGTTCACCAGAGTTTGATACTCAATTACTGGGGTTACAGGAAGTAATTTTAGCAGTTACATGGCCAAACCTGTTGTTGCTTTAATAGATACAGAAAAAGTGTAGATTAGAAAAACTGTAATTAGCACGCAAACCCATGACTTCACAGGTACCGTTGCTTAGGATGAGGCGAGATTAAGAATTTAATTTTAATAGTCAGAACCTAAAGAGAAATGTAAAGGATGGCGTTAAAACATGAAGGCAGCGTGGCAGTACCTGAGTTCAGGAGGCTTGGCTCTGCCTGTGCAGTGTGTCCTGGGTGTCACCCGGCCCCACAGGGGACGTCGGCCCCTGGAAGTGAAGGAGAGGTTCACTGCAGCACATGTCAAAGGCACCTGCTCAGAATCCAGAGCTTTTTTTTCTCCCTTTATTTTCTCCTTTCTTGTAAGTAATTACTGTTGTGTGTTCTTGGCCTTTGATCTGTGATTTACATTTGCTTAATGGTTCCCAGCCCAAGGCTGGTGATGAATTTCAGAAAGTTAGAAGTGGGCATGAGCTTTGGGGAATCATCCAGGGCAGGAGTGGAATTTGCAGCCAACAGAGAGTTTGCTAAATTTGTGGAATTCAGTAGACATTGTTGAGTGGCCGGGTCCCGTGTCTGCACCATCTGCCCAGGGCTGCTTGTATGCTGTTTTGGAAGGAAGTACGCCCAGGTGGTGGACTGAATTTAGTTCTGGTTTTTGATACAGCGTCTTCCAGTTCTCACAGATGTGGCCCCGTGTTGGCTTCTGTCTTGCAGTTACCACTGCCACGTGTACCCCTATCCAAATACTGCTGAGGAGCGGAGGGAGATCCAGGAGGGGCTCAGCACCCGGATTCAAGATCTCTACACTGTGAGTAAGCCAGGAGCCCGCCTCCTTAGCTGAGGGCTGTAATGTACTTACTAATCCATGTGCTTTTTTAATACGGAAAATTTTGGTTAGAACAAATCAAGATGTTTTCGGGAGACTGGAGTGTCACCTCTCTCGCCTTCATGGGAGTTTTATTTTAGCAGCTTGTCAGAAACCTAGGTGGTTTCTAAATGATGAGACTTTAAAAACAACTTTCTGGTTGTCTTTGATATGTCGGACTGTAATTCTTCATCAGAGAGGACAGGCAAGCCCTGTTGAAAGTGGTGGCTATAATTTTACCTGCACTACTTTACTTATTATTATTTTTTTATCCAACAGAGGTACTGGGGATCGAACCCATGACCGCATGCATGCTAAGCATGTGCTCTACTGAGCTATACCCTCCCCCTCTGCACTATTTTAATTCCGGTTTCTGTGGGTCAGTTAGGGCTCCTGGGGGCAAAAAGCAGACTCTGACCCACTTAAGCAGAAGGGAATTTCTTGGCAGGATAGGATGGGATGGGATGGGATGGGAGTTGGTGGCTCACAGGGTTGACAGGGAACTGGGCGAAGGCTGGGCGAGGGGAGAGCTGGGAACTCTCTGTACTGCTCCAGGCCGTCATGCTGCACGGTGACCCGTGACTTGTAACCATTTCCTGGGCCCTGGCGTCCTGTCCTGGAGAGGCAGCTCCCGGGCCTTACCGGTCCCTCCCTACAAGCACCCTCCATCACTGAGGAGAAGTTCCGCTAAAGGAGGGCAGATGCCTGGCAGACAGAGAATGACGAGCGGCCCCTAGGCTGAGAGCCGGTTTGTCCTTTCCCAGGTGCTTCACAAAACCGAGGACTATTTAAGGCAAGTACTGTGTAAAGCCGCCGAGTCGGTCTACAGCCGCGTCATCCAGGTGAAGAAGATGAAAGCCATTTACCACATGCTGAACATGTGCAGCTTCGACGTGACCAACAAGTGCCTCATCGCGGAGGTCTGGTGTCCCGAGGCCGAGCTGCACCAGCTGCGCCGGGCGCTGGAGGAGGGCTCGGTGAGGCAGGCGGCCCTCCGTCCCCTTCCCGTCACCGCCCCGCCCCCTCCCTCCTGTCTGAGACCCCAGCCTGAGACCCGGCCCCTCTGTGGAAGTAAAATAGAGGCTCAGAGGGCACCGCACAGATTCTTCTCTTTGACTGAAATTACGGAGAGTCAGTCCCTCGAGGCTGTGCGTGTGCACGTGTGTTTTTAATTTGCTCTTTTGAGTCATTCAGTCATGTGGTTTAAAAGTAAAAAAGAAAAAACCCTAAAAAATATAAAAGACACAGTGAAGTGACCCCCTCCTACCCCGTGACCTCATTTGTCCAGTTCCCTGCTCAAAGCTCACCCTTGTTTTAGTTTTTTTTTTATGTCTTTGAGTTTCTTATATAAGCAGACAGAAGTAGATACTTCTCTTTCCTTTTTTTCACAAAAGATTGCATGCTAGTCATAGTGTTCTTTTCACCTAAAACTTCCCTGTTTTTTTTAAATAACTATTTAATAGCCCCCTGAATGGATGTACCAGGGGTTATTGAGCCGGTTCCCTGGTCATTTAGGTGGTTTCCACTTTTATGAGTGCCGTGCAGTGACTAACCCTTGATCCGGGACGGCTCACACGTGCACAGGTCTGTCTCTGGGTAAATTCCCGGACCTGGACTTGCGGGACCAGTTTTGACAGATATTGCTAGGGATTGCGTTTCTCTTATTTTGAGTGAGGTTGACTGTCTTTTTGTGTATTTAAGAGCCTTTGAATTTTCATTGTTTTGGGGGTAAATTAAACTCTGTTCCTGTACTTTGCCCGTTTTCTCCTGGGCTGTTGGTCTTTTTCTTCCTAATTTCCATTGGCTCTTTGTCTGTGATGTGAGAAAAAAGTATTTCCCCAATTTGTCTCTTGGTGTTTGTTTGCTTTGGTCATGCAGAAGTTTTTGTTAAACATAGTTGAACCCATCTGCTCTACAGCTTCTGAACTTGGAATAATAGGTTCTTCCCACTCCAGGGCTTGGGGTCAGGTTCCCACATTCCAGTGAGGGTTTTTTTTTTCTGTATCAAAACTTATTAACATTTTACTGGAAATAACAGGTTTACATCCTTCCAGTGACAGTTTTCACATGGCTGTTTTTTGTTAATCACTTTGCCTCATTACGTAATTCTGTCATAGTGCAAACGTAAACTACCCAGTGCTGCTGAGAAAAACGGAAATACGGAAACATGATTAGGTATTTTGGAGCGCAGAACATCCGTGTTAAAGATCTAGACGGTTCATTATTGAGGTAACATCAGTTTTGAGGGACTGAGGAATTCTCTTGTGTGTATGTGTGCGCGCGTGTGTGGTTTTTAACCTTTGAGTTCTCTGCGTTCAGTTCAGCTGTGGTCCTAGTTGCTGCTGCTCCCCTGTGCCCACGTGCGCCCTGGGCGCCCTCCCCCAGCGTACTCGAGGCGTCAGTGGCGTTTGTCCTCCGCACGGCTGGCCTCTGCCCCGTCTCAGCTTCTGGCAGCTTCTCCCTTGTTGAGGGAGCTGCGCCCCTGCTGCTCAGTTCACTGTGTGCTGTCGCCCACGTTCTTCTGTCTTTCTTCTTTCTTGTCTCTCCTGTGGCCTTCCATTTCTCCCTGGATTTTTAGTTTTCTTGAAAAAGGGCTGACTTTCGTAGACATAAGCAGCCAATTGAAACATTTTCTGGGGTTGGTGGAAACCAGCTAGTCCCCCTGCATCACGAGTTACCTGCAGGTTGGCTGAAGTCTGGACGATGCTGTGAGGTTGAACTTGATTGGGGCTCCCAGTGGGCGAGCACGTGGGAGCTGCCCGCCTGCAGACCACCAGACTGACGCCAGCATCTCTGGTCATTTTGGCCATTCTCTGGAGTCCTCACTGGGGCTCATGGGAACAGTGGGCCCTGAGTTCTGCGTTGATAATAGTATGTGTCTCCTGCCTTTGTAATTGAAAGGTAGTTTTTCTGAAAGTAAAATCCTTGGCTCTTTTTTTTTAACTTTTGCTTTTGTTTTCCATGGGTATCTTGAACATTTTATTCCATTTTGTTTTGGCATAGTGTCTGACAAAAAGCCTGACATTAATTGAATTTTCTTTATAAATCATGTTTTTAAAAAGAAATTAAAATTTTTTGCCTAGGTCCTCAAAGAATTTTTTCTTTAAAGATCAATAATTTTACTAGAATATGTCTTGATGTGGCCGTTCTGGGAAGGTATTATCAGATACATAGTATGTTCTTTCAATATATAGGTTTTTTTTTTAAATTTCTGGAAAGTTCTCCTGAATTCTAGTTTTTAGTACTTGTTCTGTTTCTTGTTCTGATTTTCTCCTTGAGGATCTCCTGTTATCTTTAAACTGAACTTTCTTTGCTTGTCTTCAGTGTTTGCAACTTTTCCTTGAATCCTTTTTGTCTTTCTTCACTTCTTTTTGATTTGTAAAAATTTCCTTTCTTTTCACCTTCTATTTCTCTTAGTGCATTATTTGGAAAGTTTTTTCACTTTTGATTTCCTTCTGGTTTTGCCTCATTTCTGAGATAATTTTTTTCTTTTCTCCTTCCTGGCTCTTTTATCTCATTCCTCACTCTAATTCCAATTTGTGGTGCTTTTTCATATCATGTAAAAATTTCCTAATTCTTGTAGCTCGCCTTGAAATAGCAAGGTAAAGTTTCTTCAATTTTTGTGGGCATGTCTTTCTCACATTTTCTCACCTCATTTTCCGCAGGGATATTATTCTACTGAGTCTTTTTTTCTTATTGTATCTTTATGTGAGATTTGACCTCCATCCTTCTTTTGATCACTTTTAAATGAAATTAGTTTTCTAAAACATATTCTACCTATTCAAGGCAATTCTGTTTCATACATAATGTATTTTCACATATATGAATATATATTTAAAATCTCAAGGAAATTCTATATCACATATAATGTAAGTACATCATATATTTATATGAAATTAGTTTTATAGAACATTTCTAAGATATTCAAGAAACTTTTAGAACGAAGCAGGTTCAGCATTGCTTTCCTAACTTCAGAGTTTTTTTCTTTTAATATTTCTGAGCACCGATCAAAAATATGTTAGCTCCTGGGCCTGTGACTTTCTCTGCCTCTTTCATCGAGACCTCCTCTCTCCCTTTTTTTCTTTGTTTCTGTCCTGCTCAGTTTTGATTATTTTCTTCATGGTCTCTCCTCAGTGTGGGGCTCCATATGGGGACCCTGGCTGGTCTGTCGTGTGGGTTCAGGGGGCTGGATGGCTGTGGCCCTTTCAGACCTCACCTCCACGGACCCCTTGGGCTCACCCACCCTTGGACTGGAGAAAGCCCCTCCCAGCTTTGGCTGCTCTTCGGGGTCGGCCCCGCGCACTTCCAGGGAGTGCTTCCTGGCTGCTTTGGGGTCTCTTGTCCTCAGGCCTCTCAAAGGCCATCTTGCTTCCTCTGCTTCCTCGGGTCTGGAGGCTGTTATCAGGCAGGTCTTGTAGTGTTCAGGGTTTGTCCCCACCTGTTTGTATTTGTGATCTGTGGGGACAGAGTTTTGTTACAAATGTTGTCCGGGGGGTTTTGGTTTCTCTATCTAGCTGCCCTGTCTCCTTTGGTGGGGTTTGAGGAGATTCAGAACCATGCCCCAGAACCCCCTTACCTTTGTGTGCTTTCAGAAATATAATTTGATTGGATAATCTCTTTTTCTGGTAATAACCTGTTGTGTTTTATTTTGTTTTCCCCCGCTGTAAGTCAGTATACTGTGTTTCAGAAGAATTGTAAACTGAAGAAGTTATGTACATGATTTTGCCACGCTAATGGCTAATGTCGATGTCATGGTTTATTATGTCTGTTTTTTGGTTTTATCAGGTAATATTGTAGCTATCTCTAAATTCCTTTTGGAAAATTTAAAGAGATAAACTGCTAAATGCCAGTTGTATGTTGGTGATCCTGGGACGACTTTTGTAGACTCACACCTGTCACTCCAGCCCCTCTGTCAGGTTCCCGCCCATCAGCCGTGCGGCGCTCTTCCCGCCTGGGGCCCTGTTTCCTCCTGACCCTCCTGCTGTACTTGGACCTCTCGGAGGGTGAGGGGTACGTCCCCTCATGGTCCTGTGCAGAGCCTTGCCGGAGCAGCAGCCAGGATTTGCTGAAAGAGCTCTTGAGTAGTAATTTTTTGTTTTCCTTTTTCTCTCTTTCTCTCTCTCTTTTCTTTTCATGTGGAAGAGAGAGAGCGGTGCTGCTCTCCCCTCGTTCATGAACACCATCCCCACAAAAGAAACACCCCCGACCCTGATCCGCACCAACAAATTCACCGAGGGGTTTCAGAACATCGTGGATGCCTACGGAGTTGGGAGCTACCGAGAAGTGAACCCAGGTTGGAAGCCTGAATTTGCGCACCTTTGTATTTTATACCTCACTGCTGCTTTTTTTTTTTTTTTCCGTGTAAGAAAGAATACGATAGATGTTTGGAAAAATGGGCTCACTGTTACTGTTTTGTTATTTAGTATAGCGTGTTAGTTTTAACCTGCCAATTCTCTCCTGAGGATTTGGGAGAAAGTCAAGATCCTTGTACATGGTTGTGTTTGAATTAACTAGAATTTTCTGCCTTGGCTGCAAATCAGAAATCTCTTGCTTTTCTTGCAGCTCTCTTCACCATCATCACTTTCCCCTTCTTATTTGCCGTGATGTTTGGAGACCTTGGACATGGCTTTGTGATGTTCTTATTTGCCCTCTTGTTGGTGTTAAATGAAAATCATCCCAGACTAAATCAGTCACAAGAGGTAAAAACAGAAACCCTCCAATGCAAACAGCGCATCTGGCTTGGCAGCATCAGCAGTGATTATCTTCTGTTTGACTAAAAGAAGAGACATTTTAAAACGTTTAGTTTTTGGCAATAGCCGTTAACCCACCTGACTGAGACGTGGCCGGGTGGGGGTGGGTCTGTCATCTGTGAGTTGGGGACGTCCGCTCCGTGAGCCAGCTGTCAGGGCCCTGGGAGGAGCGCCTTTCCCGGTGGCCCTGCTTCGCTCACTGCGCTTTGCTCCTCACAGATCATGCGGATGTTTTTCAACGGCCGCTACATCCTGCTTCTGATGGGGCTGTTCTCAGTGTACACGGGCCTCATTTACAACGACTGCTTTTCCAAGTGTGTCAACCTCTTCGGCTCCAGGTGGAACGTGTCCGCCATGTACAGCTCCAGCCACAGCCCGGAGGAGCGGAGGAAGATGGTGCTTTGGAAGTGAGTGTCCTCCAGCCACGCGGTGGTTTAGGTGGGAAAAGCGTTTCTCCGAAGCTCCCTCCCGCCCCGGAAGTCCTCTCACTCTGCCTTCTGTTACAGTGACAGCGTCATCAGGCACAACAGGGTTTTGCAGCTGGATCCAAGTATTCCTGGAGTGTTCCAAGGCCCGTATCCTCTTGGCATCGATCCTGTGAGTGTCCCCCCCACATCATCTCAGGTTCCTCTGTGATGCCACCTAGGTTTAACTGTCACAGCGGCGTCTCACATTTGTTCAGGTGGTCGTCCACGAGGGGGCTGTTGCTCTGGGCGTTTCTGCCTGGATGCCAGTGGCTCCCTGTCATTCCGAGTCAGGCTGAGCTGTCCATTTGGGAATCTAGTGCTGGTGTTCTGCAGAGAGTCGGGGTTCCACTCTATCCTATTTCCTGACCTGTTGCACGCTAGCGAAAAGATTTCTCTTTTCTGTCTCATTTTATCTGTAGGTTTGGAACTTGGCCACAAATCGTCTCACTTTTCTAAACTCTTTCAAAATGAAAATGTCTGTGATTTTAGGAATTATTCACATGACTTTTGGCGTAATTCTGGGAATATTTAACCACTTGTAAGTATAGATTTTTTTTATTTAAACCTATAATTGTATGCCAAGTTTGGTGTTTTTTCTTTTTTTTTTCGCTTCTTGATGGTAGACTATATAGGTCTTAAAGGCAGCTAGTATGGTGGTGTATTATATTATGTGATTCTGTTTTGGTAATAAGTTTTTTGGCAGGTACCTTGAATCATTTATTCAGAAGTACTTGTTGAGCACATAGTATGTGCCTGGCACTATTCTAGGCACTAGGGATTGAGCTGTGAGGAGAACAGAAAAGAGTTTTGCCCACGTGGAGTTTACATTCAAGTGAGGGAGATGTGCAACACATAAATTTATCTTTATTTCCAAGGGTGATTTTTGTCGTATTCTTTTTCATTTTATAAATCAGAGGACTTTTTGTTTGCTTCTTAGAGCTAGCATATTAAGGGGAAGAAACTGTATGTTTTTTGTCTAACTGGATCTGATCGTGAAACACGAGTCATTTTTTTTGTCCTTACATCTCTCTTCTTCGTGGGTCTGTCTGAATCACTAGTATGAGTTATATACTGAGACAGATGATCTTCTACTGAGATACGCTTTGTCACAAAGAATTTAAGATTAATTTACTCTACTTTGTGTCTGAGTCTAGTCTTGTTCATGGGTTGGTTGATTCTTCTTCTTTTGTTTCCCCCTAGGCATTTCAGGAAGAAGTTCAGTATTTACTTGGTTTCCATCCCAGAACTTCTCTTCATGCTCTGCATCTTTGGATACCTTATATTTATGATTGTCTATAAATGGCTGGTTTTTTCAGCAGAAACCTCCAGAGTTGCTCCTAGCATTCTGATTGAATTTATTAACATGTTTTTATTCCCGGCCAGTGAAACAGATGGTCTTTACCCAGGGCAGGTGAGTAAGTGTTTTTGCGCTCCTAGGAATGAAGAAGGCCTTCTCCTGGTGGCCCTTTGTTTTGATCTGTGGGCTGATGAAAGGTGCCTGCCTCAGGCCTCCGCACCCACAGGGCTTTCTGTTTCTCTGTGTGTTAGTTACCGCGGGGCAGAATGCTGCTCTAGGGGCTCTGGGCAGGCTGAACAGTCCCAACACACTGCCACTGAGTAGCCGTCAAAATGGTGGGAAGAGAATGTTCCTGGAGGGTTCCCGAGGGCGGTCCATCCCCGCATTGTTCCCGTTTCTCTAAAATCAGTCTGACCAAGGCAGGTCATCGGAGAACTGGCCCCCGGCACCAGCCCTCTCCGAAAATGGCTTCTCTGCAGTCGCACGTTTGTGTGATGCCACCTACGTCGGCTGTGGGTTTAGGAAATGAAAAGAGCCCCCCTCCCTGGGCAAATACAAGTTAGCTTGCCTTTACTTTATGTTCCTTGCTAATAAACAAAGAGACATGATGCTGGATTTTCACTAGTGTAAGTGCGCCCGTGACGCCGTCAGCACGCCTTTGCACGTTGACCGACTCCCTCCCCTCCCGCCCCGACAGGAGCACGTCCAGAGGCTGCTGCTGGTCGTCACCGCTCTGTCCGTCCCCGTGCTTTTCTTGGGAAAACCACTCTTCTTGCTGTGGCTTCACAACGGGTGCAGTTGCTTTGGGGTCAGCAGGGTGAGTGCGAGTTTGGAGGCATGTTTGTAGATGGTGAGCAGAATCTGTTGGTAGCGATGAAAGGTTTTGTAAAGAAAACGCCTTCCAGACGATCCTGGGCTCTGCTCTAAAAGCCAAAGCCTCCTTTATTGAAGCCTTTGGTGTCGCCTGTTCTGCGGAAGCTTGATGCAAGGCGCCTGCCGTGTGTGGGCCCCGGCAGCAGGTGCCCTGGGAACACTGAACTAGTGAGTCCTTCAGTACGGCTGGTCATAATTAAAGCGTTTTTGTTCCTTCTTCTTGCTTCTTGATTTTTTAAAAGTGTTTTTTTTAAATTTAAATAATATAACTAAATTATGGGAAACATGGAAAATATAGAATAAAGTGCCCTTAAGTTCTCCTACCCAGTTATAACCAGTGTTAACTATTTGTTATGTTTCTTTCCAGACTGTTTTCCTGTGTATCTAGTTTATTTTATCTCTTTTATTTAAAAAAATTATAAAATATACATAACATAAACTTTCCATTTTAACCATTTTTCAGTGCACAGTTTACTGGCATTAAGTACATTCACATTGTTGAAACCATCCCCACCATCCATCTCCAGAACTTCTTCATCTCCTCAAACTGAGACTCTTCACCTGTTAAACACGAACTCCCCATTTCCTCCCCACTCAGCCTTGGCACCCACCCTTCTACTTCCTGTCTCTATGAATTTGACTCTAGGTACCTCATATATATAAGTGGAATCATATCTGTCCTTTTGTAACTGGCTTATTTGACTTAGCATAATGTCTTCAGGGTTCATCCATGTTGTAGCATGTGTCAGAATTTCCTTCCTTTTCAAGGCTGAGTAATATTCCATTGTATGGATAGACCACATTTTGCTTATCAGTTCATCCATGAATGGGCACTTGGGTTGTTTCTGCCTTTTGGCTGTTGTGAATAATGCTGCTGTGAACATGGGTGTATAGATATCTGTTGAAGTCTTTGTTTTCCTTTCTTTTGGGTGTATCCCAGAAATGGAATTGCTGGATCCAATGGTAACTCTACGTTTAATTTTTTGGGGAAGCACCAAATTGCATCATTCCTCAGTGGCTGCACCATTTTAATACTCCCGTCAGCAATGCACAAGAATTCCAGTTTCTTCACACCCTAAGCCACACTTACTTTGTGTGTGTGTGTGTGTGTGTGTGTGTGTGTGTGTGTGTAGCCATCCTCATGGGTATGATATGCTCATTTTCTTGTAAAGAACTTTTTTATTCCTAAAGGGCTGAATCATTAAGAGAAATGAAGGGGCTCTGACTGTGACTTTGTCACGGCCTGTGACTGTGCAGGCACCGACTCTGTGTCCTGTTGGCTGTTTTTAGAGTGGTTACACGCTTGTAAGGAAAGACAGCGAGGAAGAAGTTTCTCTGTTGGGAAGCCAAGACATAGAAGGGGGAAGCAACCAGATGGAAGATGGGTATAGAGAAGTGACGTGCGAAGAGGTAAGTTTCCGTTACTGTCGATGACGTAGGACAAGGAGCCAGGCTCTCATCGAGGTAATCGTCATGATGGGAGTGATGATAATAGTCTTAAGAAAAAGACCCAAAGCTACAAAACTATTACTCTTAAGCTTTTCAGGTGCCATTCTGGTCATACGGTGTCATCATAATGAAGGATTTGGGGGCAACACTTGGTTGCTCTCAGTGTTTCTCACAGCTCTGGAGGCTGGAGGCCCAGGGTCCCCGTGCTGGAGGGTTGGTTTCTCCCGGGGCCTCTCTCCTTGCCTTGTGGACGGCCGCCTCCTTGCCGTGTCCTCATGTGGCCTGTTCGCTGTGTTTGCGTGTCTGGTGTCTCTTCCTCCTCTTCCAAGGACACCGGTCATATTGGGACAGGCCCCGTCCTTATGACCTCATTTCACTTTAATGACCTCCTTAAAGGCTTTGTCTCTAAACACGGTCACACCAAGGGTTAGGGCTTCAGTGTATGGATTTTGGGGGTGCACAGGTCAGCCCTCAGGGCCGTGGCCAGGGATTCAGGGTCAGATGGGAGAAGCAGCGGTCCCCCCGCTGAAGGAAGCACAGTCCTGGGCAGACGGAGCAGAGCAGCTCTGCCTGTCTGGTCTGCTTTATCTTCTTGGAAACTTTTTTGCCTCTTCAATGAGGACTAAACAAAATTTCTTAGAGTCAACCTTCTGTAATTATTAGGTACTTTAGTGTTTTAGTTTGGGACAGTTAATAATTAACTTTTAAGATCATAGGAAGACAAAAAGCAGAGCTGGGAAGAGCATGAGCATCTTGCCCCATGTCCCGCAGCCTCTCCCCCGGCAGGGACCCCAGCTTCCCCGGCAGACGTGTGTTAGGAATGCTCTTACCTGTTAGACGCTCACACACACTCACGGCCTCCTCCTCTCGGGCTTGGTGGATGTCTGTTTCTTCACAGATGCTTTGTGATTGCGGAGAGCAGCTCAGGAACCTTGTCGATCTGTCTGAGGGTCGTGGTGTCACAGCTGCGATCCAGCGCCCTTGGTTTGCATGTGAGACACCGCGGCCTGGGGACGAAGGGCAGGAGCTCTGTCGGCTGTGGGGCTGGTCAGTGGCAGAGCTGTGGGGAGAACTCGGATCTTGTGATTCCCTTTTCCTCACACTCCAGCACATTCTCACTGGGATACCAGAAGCCAGTTCTTTCTCTAATCCTGAAAGTGGAGCAGACTTTTAACTTGTGGATGTATGTGTGTCACCTGCGGGTTCTAACGCATGTCATGTGATCTCTCTCAGTTTAACTTTGGAGAAATATTAATGACCCAAGTCATTCATTCCATCGAGTACTGTCTGGGCTGCATCTCCAACACCGCTTCGTACCTGAGGCTCTGGGCTCTCAGTCTGGCTCACGCACGTAAGTGTTTGCTTCGACCTGCATTTCCCCAACTCTGCCGAGATGCCCCATAGCACCTTGGTCAACCATGGGGGCACCATGGGGCATCTTAAATTTAGGAGGGAGATAGCGCTGTCTTTCAGATACTGTGTGAACTGGGACTATTAAGTTGTTTGGACTTAACTACCTAATGCACTGATCTGGGCATTTCTCTTGGCTCTGGGGTGCTATGAGAAATCTCACTGGGACTGAGGAGGCTTGGGAGCACCTGGCGTGGGCATTTCACACCCTCTGCTCTGACCGTCACTGTTATTTTGTCCCACCCTGCCTTACGAAGTATGACTGTCTAATTATGTTCGGCAAGTCCTAAAACAATACTGATTCTTAATTTTGATGGCAGGCATTCTTCCTTTTGCATGGTTCTGATGTTGCACGAATTTCAGTCACCATGGTTTAGTTAAGTAGCACCAGTCCCCCAGCACGCAGTTGGCATTTCAGCTATGACAGTACACAACTGTGCGTCGGGGTACAAAGCCCAGTGAGGGTCGGTGCTGACGCGGGGTCACCCACTCAGGCAGTCAGTGGCAGAGTCGGGACTGCCGCCCAGCTTCCTGCTGCCTGGCCCGGTGCTGCCCTGGGGCAGAACCACCTGGACCCCCACTGGGGTCCGGCTCTCTCTCGGCAAGCCAGGCCTCTGATTCCTCTGAAATGTCAGGTCTTCCTCAGTGTTTGAAGCCATCAAGTCATTGATAGTAACTTTCACACGAGAAGCAGATTACATCTATATTATGTGGGTGTGTATTTATTTTAGGGAGAACAATTCAGAATTGTCAGAAGGAAACCCCCTCACTAGCTGGTTGAGCTGACTCATTGAATGTAAGCAGGAGTCACCTCTGCAGAGTGATTCCCTTGCAGAGTTATCTGATGTCCTGTGGACCATGCTGATGCGTGTCGGCCTCCGAGTAGACACAACTTACGGGGTCTTGCTGCTGCTCCCGATGGTGGCCCTCTTTGCAGTTTTGACAATTTTCATCCTTTTGCTGATGGAAGGACTTTCTGCATTTCTTCACGCCGTACGCCTCCACTGGTGAGTTCGGAGTTCAGCTTTGGAACTGCTATTTAAAAAAAATCCAACCCTTCCCCATGTATATATACATAGAATAGTTCCAAAAGCTTTATATGTGTATGTATAATAATGATACATATATAATTTAGGCTAGTTCTTCCCTTCCCAGTATTGGAGTCTGTATGCAGATCCCCTGAGTTAAAATTGAATTTGGTTCTGAACTGTTGTCACTGACATGTAAAAGCAAGTTTATGCTCGCCGGGTAATTTTGTGTATGTCATACTTTCGACTCACTTTGGTTCTGACATTGTTTTCCCTTATTGTAGAATCCTTCCTTCATATTTCTTAGTGTTTCACAGTATCCATCAGATTACTTGTCTGTGTATCCAGTTACTGAGACGGGGAGAGGCTCCTGACGCTTGTGTGTATGTCCGCAGCCTGGGAGGTGGGGTGGGGTGTCGCTGTTTCCCTCATGAGGAAGCCACCACAGGGCCGGGCATGGGTGTGGATTTTATCTATGTAAAAGTATTTGTGCCAAGAGCACATACGGAATGAAGGAAATTCAGAAGCACAAGAACTTTTTTTTAAACTTCTAAATGTTGTTTTAAGAAATATGGGACATGTTATTCATAACCTGTTATTAATACATGGGATTTTTTTTCTCCTTTTTTTTTAGGGTAGAATTTCAGAACAAGTTCTACGTTGGTGCAGGCACCAAATTTGTTCCTTTCTCATTCAGATTACTGTCTTTGAAGTTCAGTGACGACGTGGCATAATCAGATTTCTGTATCCAGCAAGCTTTCAGATGTCATGTTGCAGAATTTCACTTCTGTTAAATTGACAGTAGGAAGAACTCCATCTTCATTGATTGCCTTATGAGCTAGCCAGACAATTCTGTGAGATATACCTCTTCCTCTTACGTGAGAGATTTTGTGAAGTTTGTCAGTTTCAGATACATAAATTTCTTTCAGTTTTTATGATGAGCAAATGTAAGTTAATGCCAAAAGTTACGTTAAAAGTTATTTTTAAAAATACAGGCTTCGGGGAGAGAAGCCAATTTGGAATGGCTAATTGAAGATGGTCTTAGATACTTGATTCCTTTTCACATTATTAAAAAAAAAACAGTTAGTCTGTCACCTGAAGTTGTCAGAGAAATATTTTCCAATAGCTGAAATTAAGTAGTTTTTTTAAAAAATTTGATGGTGGATAATCAAAAAGATTCACATCTATTTTGCCTGACTAAAAGTATGCAGACTTTTTACATTGTATGCTATCTAGAATTACAAGTAGAATTGTTTCTACAGTTTTGTCTTGTTTTAATAATTGGAGAAAATGGGATAAAATAACATAGAACAAATGGTTATCCCACTTGCATATTTTTTTAAAGACCCTTACCCTGTTATACTGACATAAAACCAATTATAATTGTATGTTTGGGAAGATAAACTGTGTACTGAGCCTTAAAACCCAGTGTTACTGTACAACATATAATATGGATATGATTTGAACTTAGTGACCAGCTTGGCTAGTGTTACTGAACCAAAAGGGGTTTATACTGAGTGAAGGAGAGGTTAAAAAAAAGTAGTATTTTGTATATTTTTATAATAAAATGTAAATTAAGATATTTTACCATGAAGAGATTGCACCTGTCCTTGAGAACAGTATAATTATATGATTTCCCTTTCAGACTAATTCTAAATAAAAGTCTCATAAAGGCATTTGAACTTTTAAAAACTTTAGTTCAGTTGAAAACCAATTCTTACTAAGCCATTAATTTATAACCTTTAGTTTAAATTCATCTTTTCACTTGAGTCAATCTTACTGAACATTTTGACCTATTCTCTGTTCTGATAAATTATGTTCATTTTTCATATTTTACTATAATTGGTTTTAGATAATTATTTTTAAAAAGAAATTATTTTTACTTTCCTGACAATTTTGAGTAACACACATGAAAAGGCCGCTTGTCCCCCTACTGCTTCACCCTGGCTGGTGGTAGGGGGTTAGGGTTTTCATTACAGGCTAAGATCATGTGGCCCTGAATTTAAGCTTGTCTTTTCAGGTAATTTCAAGGCCTATTTGCTGAGAGGCGTGAACTCAACATCATGACATAACTGTGACTCTGACATTAAACCTTTTTAATTGTAGTAAAGACTCCATGCTACTTCTCCATGAGATGTGAACCCAAAGCCCGTTTGGGATTACTGGGTTTTGTCCTTTGTGTTAAAATTTCAAGCATAAAACAATGCTGGTGAAACTCTTGAAAACGATTCTGCCCTCAGAGTTAAGTTTCCCCAGAAAGGTGTAATGTTGGATGCTTTTGTTGGGTGAATAATGCCTTCCGGGCAAACTTGTCCCTCATAATTTCCTATTTTTATTACTTTACTCCAAGGGTCTGTTGTAATAAAATGGTAACTAATTTATCCCTAGGAAACCCATAATCTCACTGCTAACTGGCTAGTAAACAAGAGGCATACAGTATCTGCTAGAATTTTTTACTGCCCCTGCTGGAAATTGTCACGGGGGACACTTTTTAATTCCAGTGAATGCCTCCATCAGGGTATAGAACAGAGTGAAGGGTCATTTTTCAATTGAAAACTATGTAGTGGTTATGTAGGATGTAATGACATAAAAAACGAATTATTAGCCTTGACTTTAGTGAAAGAATTCTCTAGAATTATAGTTTGATGGTATCTTTTAGGCACCAGGGTGAATTTTATTTCTCTATAAAGCTCCTGGTTCCGAGGTCATGTTACCAGAGCAGTTGCTCTGTTTTGTTTGTAAGCTGTTTGGTAGAACTGTTGTACATTCAGCTTTTAAGATATAACCTCATTCCCTTGATAGCAAATATCCAGAGGGAAAATTAATGGTCAGTTGTCTGGATAATGCTAAATATCTTTATTTTCCTAACTCAAAATGTCACAATTGTCACGTTTCCCAGTTTTCATTCACGTGTTCAGCCTCAAATAAAAATCCAAGGAATTTCTTCAGTAAAGTAGAGTTTGATTTCACCCCACAAGGGCGATGAAGGTCCTTCTGGTGATGTGACGGTGCTCAGTTAAGGAGTGCAGAGGGTGTTTCATAGGCTCGCACGGAGCCAGAGGACTGGCCTCTCATGAACTTGGAGGAGACTCACCTTTCACTGAATGTCACTCTGTCCTCATTTCTGGAGTGTGTGTTTTATAACAACATTATGGTCTCAGTTTTCCTTCTGCAGTAGTTTAATAAGGCGTAGACCAAATACAGCATAGGTAACTCTTATGTTTTCAAATTAAAGAATTAAATATTCAGATATTTTAGGGCCTGATTCATTTTAGAAAACAGAAACAAAAAATAACTTCTACAACTCTTCTACAGTCTGCTTTTAAAAGCAACTTTCTTTATTAAAAATATAAAGCCAGGTTTGCTTGCATGCCATCTGGTGTATCTCCAGCAAAGTTACTAAGAAATCCTAATTCAAGCTGATGAAAATCAAGACATTTTGGAGTAATAATTTGCAAGAGCCAGGCCATTGATGCTGAAATTTGGTTTAGAATTTTGAGAAACATGTAGAACATTCCACTTGTTCCTTGTTGGGGAAATCCAATAAGAAGGCTGGGTTCTTAGGATCAGCCTAGTAATCCAGGGGCTCAACTGAGGGAAACAACAGTGAACAAGTTAAAGATCCACAAATGCATGAAAGGACAAACCTGCATCTTCCTATCAGTATTGAACTTCCTTTTACTAATGAGAAATAAATACATCTCTATTTTTGAAACGTGGGCGTTTTGTTTTATTATACCTTGGCGTGGCCAGAAAGCCGAAGCGCTGGGCTCCTTCTCTGATCCTGCACACCAGTGTCCCTTCTTGGGGCTCCCCCCGCCCCGATTCTGGTACACCAGAAGGAACTTGCCCCTACTTGGAAATCTTCCAATGCCTTTTCTGACGCCCCTTGATCCATAGTGACCGAGGGCTCAGACTATAGCCCTTCCTCGCGTTCAACTTGCCTCTACCACCTCCCAGATACCGTGACCTTGTCACCCCTCTTTGCCACTTTCCTTATCGACAAAACGGGCAGGACGCTCCCAGATAGGGTGGTGGTGGGAATCACAGGAGGTCTTGCGCACCCAGCACTTACAG